CGTTCTGGACACGGGGTTGAAGTGTGAGGATCACAAATACTCAATCAACCGTACGCAGTGTTGGAAGCTAATCCCATCCGCCGACAACACAACGAACTGGACGCTCGATTGGCAAGAGCCATATTCGTCATGTGCAACTGAACTGAACTGAACTAACCTGAACTGAAATTTTCAAGGGCGTGTCTACAATTGGTCGTCAATTTCGTGCCGTTGCACTTCGGGTTATTGACACGTCTTGTTTAGACTTTTTGTGCTGTTCTAACTGGTCTTTGGCCAAAATGCCTGGAAATGAACTTTCAGACTTTTTTAACAATATACCACTAGTTACGCGATACTGGTTCTCTGGAACAATTTTGTTTTCACTTCTGGGAAGATTAGGACTTATCGATCCGATGAACATGATCTTGTTGTGGAGTAGTGGGTACAAGTTTCAGGTATTCCCAGTGTATTCCGAAGACATAATTTTGAAATTTCAGATATGGAGGCCCATTACTGCTTTGCTGTTTTATCCAGTCAATCCGCAAACGGGATTCCACTTTTTGATTAACCTTTATTTCCTTTATTCCTATTCTTCAAGACTCGAGAGTGGTATGTAAATTTTTACCGTCTACAATAATTTTCAGGAATGTTCTTTGGTCGAACGGCGGACTACGTTTTCCTCATGTCGTTCTGTTGGATTTTAAACGTCGTATCCTTTCGTTTCGTTGGGTTTAGTTGTCTTATCCGTAGTTATGATACTACATTATATTATTTATGAAGTAAATAGCAGTATACACTTAATATATATATATATATAATGTACACAAGTAAGGACAACCGTTCTTGCTGGGTTATCTGTCGAGCTGGAACGCTATTTTTAGGTCCATCACTCCGATCATGTCTCAGTGTGCGTGACTACTGTACTCCGTAAAGAGTGAAAATATACCAACTACCTGCATCGTAGAATTTAATGTTGGTGTGAGTTTCCAGATGGCCACACTGTCCTAATGTTTCAGTTTTCAGCTCGTACAACCATTAGACCTACAGTTTCATGCGCCGATTTCGATTGTTGTCTCATAACTGCTTTCTTGGATGAAGGGGTTCCCTTAGTTTTGATTCTAGTACATTTTTTATTTCAGCTATCAAGCTCTGCTCACTTTGACGGTTTTCATGTATGGGTTTAAGTTTTCCGACTTTTCATGATGAAAGTTCACCTCTCCGTAATTAGATCTCCCGATTTCAGTATATTGATAAACACGTGATGCTTGTAGTTATATGTATGCTGCTACTTTAACCCAAATGGTTCAGATTGTCGGCTATTTAGCTCCCTTCTATGTAAGTTGTATCCAGCTGTTATTTTGTGATTTCTGCTTTTCAATCCATTTTGCTTCATTTTGTGCTGGGAATGAGAAAAATTGTGGAGTTGTAGGTAGAAGCTCAATCCGGGATCCAAGCTGAAGCCAGAGGCGTTGGCCGTCATGTTACTATTTCGGGTTCAATTTATATAACCAATCAACTGTACACTTTCGTGCAGCGGTTTCAGTGGCTTTCTTTTGGCAACCCATTTGGATGAAGGACTAGAGGGGAGGTTAGAATCTTGCAGTCAGTGTTAATATGAGGATAAAGAATTCATGTAAACCAAGGTCCCTAAAATGGTAAAGAAATGCACGAGCACCGTATCACTCAAACCACCGAGTACGCTGATCCCAGGCTCCCTGTCCAGGAAACCTAACGTAACTTACATGTCTAAGTTTCTTGGTTAGGGTTTTCGTACCTTCAAGTTTGATTTTCCGTGAATTTATTTCCCATCCATTGCTGGCCTCGGTTAACATCGCACGCCTTGATGATCTACCTGGGGACATGCGTAACATTTGAGACAGTGGCGACTCATCATCGTCATCATTGTACAGCGTAATACAGTAAAGCGAACCCACCAAACTGCCAAACTCATATTGCATGCAAAGTAAGTGAGAATGTGTAAGGAGGACAGGGATTGGACCTACTTTTAGGGACGGGGAAAGAAAGCGAACCTCTATGGTCAACACGCAGAGTACACAGTCCAACTGTGCATACATACTGTTTCAAGCATTCTGGTTTTATAAGAAATAACAGCAAGAACACCACTGCTGTCTTTTGGTCGTTATGTCCTTCAGTGTCTCTAACCAGCTAGTTATAGAGTCTTTCGGACCCCAACCATTTCATGCCTCGTTTCCACGTCATCTTCGTTCTAGTTCTGTTGGAGGCTCACATATTACC